GGAAATAAAAAGTATGTGGAAGAGAAAGAAGGGAGGCTCTAGCAGTAGTCTGTTTTCGCCCACCAGCATTGCTGTATGCAGCAAGTAAGGCGATTTAACTGATGTTGCATGAGTGCGTTGTTAGTTGTGAACGTCATGGTTGTACGAGGGCTGGGATACTGCCAGGGTGTCCACAACTGGACAGGAGGATAATTGGGGTCCTGAACCAAAGCTTATGGCTCATAAACCTAACCGCAAGGCAGCGGCATTTGGCGGGAAATGAAAATGCACTGCCATTTCTACGGAGCAAGTCGCCACATATCCCAACCCCCAACCTGGAGGGCCAGGAGATTGTGTTTGTCAGACCGGTAGCCATTGACCAACCTGGTATGAGAGGCTCTGTGAGTGCCACGGGGACATTCCGCAGTATAGCTCAAAGGATCGTTGCGGTGTGCAAACCGTCACACCACGGTAAGGTCCAGTCTCTTCGTGGCAGATCGCAGCGAACAGTTGACTTCGCCCCGTTCGGTTATCCAGCTCAATCAGGTCCAGTCCCGTTTGACATTAAAAACGAAGCCCATCATATCGGCATATGCCCCAAAGAACTGTAGTTCTGGTTCTCAGAAGAACACTTTTCATCGATTGTTATCCAGGCTTCCTCGTCAAGCAAAAAACACTGACATTGTGATCCTTGCGGGTGATATGAATGCCGAAGTCGGTCGTCTGAGCTCTTGTAATCACATCTGAGCGGTTGATTCTCGTCGTACAGATAACAAAGAACGACTTCCAGTTGTGTGCTGGTCATCGGCTGCATCTGGTCAGTGCAAACCTGTAGCTTAAATGTTCGCGTTGCGTAGTTTATCGGTCACTATGTGCAAATAAACTCTGCAGGTATGGCTGTCACGCAGCCGGTAGCGATCTTGAATCAAAGCTATCGCCTTCACTGCGGGATTCCCGCTTCCTACCCTAGCGAACAGACGCTCAATTGATGTCGGTGAACTGATTGGGCCACGCCTCTAACGTGTGGCTCATTCTCTTAGTCTCCATATCTTCGGTGGATGCCGCTATAGCAGCATGGTTTTTGAGCTGAAAAATGAACTAAACCTAACTTAACTTGCACAAACGCTGTCATTCCTCGAAGAACTTTACGGCTTATAATCACGTCCCCCTTAAATCCTTATGGTTAAAGTGACTGTCAGGTAGAGAACGGGATCGTCGGCCAGTATGCGTTTCGTCCTGATTGTGACTCAGCAGTTGGATGTAGAAGGTTCCGGTCTCTTCATATTCAGGTGTAGGTTCAATACCCCGTTTTAACACCAAGAGACCGTCGACCTTCGGCGCAAGATGTATATGATTTCAAGTGATAATGGTAAGTTCGGTCAGGGTGAGACAACCATTCGATTAGCCTCTCGGGTTCAACGAATTCCGCTTTATAACTAGCTGTGTAAATATTTCAAGTCTACTTGCTGGTAACTATCAAGCCCTACTAGAGAATCCTCTGGTGTCAGACTTTTCAACGGCACACAGAACTGGCTGATCATGTCTCAGTGACGAAATGTTATTGTTCTGAAGGCGTAAAAATACTCGCGGTGAAAACTCAGGATTGACTGGTTGATCAGCATTTAGCAGGTACTTGCCAAACTGACGGCGCATCTTTGAGACTTGGACTCTAATCTGCATGACTGGTCGGCAGAAGTACTGTGGTGCGGGTTCTGGTAGACTTCGATTTCTCCCGCTGCTGTACTCTTCTCTGCAGCCGCAAGAGGACTAATAGTTGACACGAGTGGTATGTAGCTATCACACCTTTGAACAATGATTCCTCATTAATCAGGATAATTCGTAATTGCATATCACTTGTCCGAGGGCCGAAGCCAATGTATGTTCGATGTCATCGGCCAAATGGCTGCCCTTAGGCTCGAAAGGTAGATAGGCATCTTCCTTAAGAAGCATCACAGGACTACACATTTCAACAAAGCGTTTCAATTAGAAGGTAGACTCCTTTTCGAAAATGATCGATGTTATATCTGATTGCTGTTTCCAATCCACTGCCTAGTACCGGAAAAAGACTAACCGACATCATCAGTATCATCATTGACAGCGTAACACCAGTGCTCAACACCGATGCTAAATTGATTGAATGCTTGATTGGCCTGGATGCTTGCCGGCTTTCCCATTGAGATTTTGGTGGAGTTTTAGGGTCTCAATTCTGGGGGTTGCTTTCAGGAATCTGACCTTCCTGATACTTGCCCTTTTTGGCCTTAAGGTTGTTGGCGCGGGTCAAGTTGGAAAGGCTCCACCAGTCTTCTGGCGTCACCAGTAAGGCGTCTCGGTTGCAGCAATCGATCCGTCTTTATAGTTACATGTGTAGCAGTGGCTATTAGTGCTAATCTTGGGAGATTAAAGGTTTTAAGCAGTATGTTGAGACCTAGTAACTTTTCTACCACTTTTGGGCTCGGGCACTCGGTCGTAGCTGATTGACATATCGTTTCCATATCAATGACCCCACCTGGACGCTGTAAATCACTCGACCGATTTGATTGGGAACGACTCCAACAGTCCATTGTCGGCGCCCGGGGCGATAGTCCCTCACAATCACATGGTTTCCAAGCTAGAATGTTAGCTTCCCTCCTGTCGGTGTTGATGAGCATAAGTTTTCGATCTTCAGTGTTGGAAGATGCAAGCGATCGATCCAGTCTATGCCCGGGAGATTAAGCTCACAAACAGCAAGATATACGCTACCACGATCACGGTGGCCTGCTATCTTCATCTCACAATCAAATTCACCAAGCGATTGAAGCTTACCACTTGAAGCATTTCTGACAATGTCCATTTTGGTGATCTGATCTTTCTCCAGGTGCGCCGTGAAACAATCATAATATCGGAAGCCGTATCGGGCTGCAGTCGAGTCGGGCTACTGTTTGCTCTGGTTGTAACGTACCTGCGACGGGCATTGATCTGTTGCAAGTATTGCGTTAAAACGAGTTTCCAACTGGCTCCGCCTGTTTCATGATCTCCTGTTTGGCTGTCTTTGGCTAGCTTTTCGCGTTCGGCACTAGCTTCCCTCGTACCCACGTCGATTGCACACTGAACATTTGTGCTTTTTTATAGGGACACAATCTCACCAAATGCCATTCGCCGCATTGCCAACATGCCCGCGGGGGCTTTGCTCTGTTCGAATTTGCCACCACGGGAGGTTGCTCCTTTGTCGCCTTGGAATTATTGAAAGCAGGGTTGGAATCGGGTCTCTTCAACATGGCCTTATCGTTTTTAAGATTCAAGAGGCTTTGGGACTCATGCAGCGTTATCTCGGGAGTTTGTTGAACCTTGTTCAATATTCCCGCTCTGATAGCCCTGTTTAGATGCGTCTGAAGACCACTTATTGGAATAAAACTCTTGAACTGGTCTTCGGCAATGGTCGACGACTTGGATTGTTCGCATTCAAGGTTGACTACCGGCATAAGTGATATGGTCTTTGGGTTCCTTTTTTGCAAGTTTCATAAATTGGTAGCGAATATTAAACAAAAAGGAACGCTGAGTGGTTTTGTCAAAAGTGAGATCTCGCTTGTTCTTTGGCAGGATGAAGGTGGAGTACCATGTGTGTTTTGTTGTGCCAAGCTTTCTGAGCAATAACTGTGCTCTTCAGGCATCATCTTTGTGTTCCAGTTCGACTTTGAAAATATCTTCGTAACGTCTGAACCACGAATCCAAGGTTAAACCAGCATCAGGGTGATAATGGAATTCCGTGATGCTGTTGGCGATCGAGTCGACTGAATTTCCATGTAGAGTGGTATCGGTGGTTTGATTTTAAGTTGCTGCGTCAATGCTTCCACCGAACGTAATTGCGCCGCTTCAAACTGATTTTGTTGTTGCAACAGAAGTCCTTTCAACGCTTCAGCAATTATTGTTTCGGGTGTCGCCAATCTATTATATCTGACTGCTGTTCCCGCCCCAGTGCCTGTTGCCGGAAAAAGGCTCACCGACAAGGAACACAACAGCTTTATTGCGAACAGTGTGTGCGAGTGCACCACTTACAAGGGTTTAGTGTTCGAGACCAAAAACCAACTACCCGTGTCTTTTAACATGGTCCGATATGCCACAGAAAATGACAGCATATTACAAAAGGCAATGGAGTACCACCAATCAAGCTGGCCAACAACCTGTCCATCAGGGGAACTCCGGAAACTCTTTAAGTGACGGAGTTCATTATCCGTTGTCAGTAGCTGTCTTCTCTCTGGTGACCGAATTGTCAGTCCCACCGAACTTCGCCAACGGGTCCCAGCACAGTTCCACACCGGACGTCCAGGGATAAGCCGCATGAAGGCCCTTGCTCGCAGCTATGTTTGTTTGCCCGGTATGGGTGAGCACATGGATAAGGTAAATCTACCGATTGTCACCAAACTTTTTCGAAAACGGTAAATCGTAGTTGTTTCAAATGCGCAGCTGCCCAGATGTTGCCCAACTGACAGTCGCTGCAGCCTTGGCCACAACCATAAAAACCATGGTCACGCATCCATATGGATTTTGCAGACCACCAAGCATTCGGTTTTTTATTATCGTGCTGAACTCAACGTAACGCCTACTATTCAATTAATAACTATTTTCGCTTTCTCTTAATGGAGAGTATTTGTAGTGGTCACTACACTCAGCAAACTATACTTTCAATTACCTCTGCTTACTTCGTTTAGTACATGTACACACCCTGTTTCATTGCTGTTTTGTCCGTCCCCTACACACTTAAATCAGGCCACACAATCGTGCCTTACTTGAACCTGACCGTCTGTACCGTTTGGTACGGGTCGAAACAATCTATCTGCGACACACTGTCGATCTGGAATATGCAGACGACATCGTTCTCATCTTCCAAGAAGAGGAGAAAACGCAGGTGTTTTTGGTTGAACTGACCGAAGTCACTGAAAGGGTGCTACAGCTGAACCATACTTGGCTTCCTACTCCGAAGTGTCATACAATCCGGTGCTCCGGAGCATCTCTTGTTGTATCTCATGCTAATGTCCCCAGGATGTGTTGCCCCTTACTGATTGTCTAATGTATTGCATCTGCTAAACTTGTAAGCACCAGAGTTCAACAGCTGTGCAAGTAGGAAACACTTTTTACATGTTTTGGCTTGAAATTAAAATACCTCTTTGTACTTCACTACTCATAAGATTGCTGAAAATTCGTCGACAGCCCACGACCGGTTTGGCCTTTCTTGGGCCTCATCAAGTGCAGTCCCCAAGTTTCCGTCAACCATTATGTTCTAATTGAAATAATACCTTAAAGTACCTTTGGTATGCACTTTGCACCCACAAAGTGTAAGGTCGTGCTCGTGGACGTGCAGTCACTGAACACGTCACTTACAATCCAGGGAGAGGTACTGGAAGTTGTGCGGCGTTTTACGTATCTTGCAAGTTGTATTAGTTCTGATTGTAATGTGACAGATGAGGTGAATGCACGAAGCTGCAAGGCTTGGGTCGTGTTTGCTAATTTGGGATACACGTAGCGTCAGAGTGGTCATCCCTGAATTCCAAGGGACGTGTTTATCAAGCTACAGTACGGGCTGTTTTGTTGCATGGCTTTGGGCGGCGGAACTGGGACGTCTTCAGGTGTTCGACAATCGTTGTCTCAGACCTATAGTGTATAAATGGTCATATTAAAAATCAGGTGTATGAACTCACGACAGATTTTACTGGGGGAGACAATAGTTTACAGTTACTAGTTGCACCATGCATAATATATATACGATACAGTGCATTACGATATAAACGCAATACAACTGGTGGGAGTTTCTGACCGAATGTCTGGACGCAGGACGTTTTTTCTCTGCACTGCAGCTGCTACACGTGTTCATTAATTGTCCATGGACTTGTGGAGTTTGGTTGACCTCTTTCCGTGTACGCGCGCATGCGAGTGTAGTAGCTGTTGTCTTCCTATGTATGGGTATGTTTGCGGTGTGTCGCACATGGATTGTTTCGACTCATACCAAACGGTACAGTCGGTCAAGGTCAAGTCAGGCACGATTGTGTGGCCTGATTTAAGTGTGTAGGCAACGGACAAAACAGCAATCAAACAGGGTGTGTACACGTACTAAACAAATTAAGGAGGAGTGATTGAAGGCATAGTTCAATGAGTGTAGCGGCCACTCCTGGATGCCTTTTCGAATGCGCCAGATTGCCCGGTTATACTAGAACGTGAATACTCTACCGGTTTTTCCTAGGGTCACTCGCTATTTGCGTGGTCTAAAGGGGGAATGATTAGTCTTTTCTGTAATACGAAAACGATTTCGACTTGTATGGCTTAATTCGCACCTTGTATTCAAAATAACCTACTGTTTTCTTCCTTTTCACCGTAGCTTAAAGATGTTATCACCTTTGAGATGCTTGTCCAAGCGGTGAAAGAAGATGATTTTGTATTTTTGGATGACAATTTGACTGCTTACATTATGAAGCGTCATGAACGCATCGGTGAAAGCAAATCAGAAGAACGCCTACTCGAAGTAAGTGTTTCGTTCAGTAAAAGTATAATCTGACAAGTGCACAAGATACTTATAAATCACTTGCCCATAATTGCACACACACGCTTAGTGCCATCGCCTGTGAGTCCAACAAATATACCAACCCACTTATAAATCACTTGCCCATAATTACACACACACGCTCGCCTGTGAGTCCAACAAATATACCAACCATCCGACCCTCTAAGTATTGCGGACGCTATTTTTAAGCGTTCCGTCATCAATCGAGGTGATATTTTGAGTGATTATCGATGTGGTGCCTCATCGGGGCGTAGGCATTGAACCAGTGTATGCTTGTTTGGGCTTTCTTGACATGCTAATAGTGTATTTCGATTCGGTCGGCGTCTGTGGAATGTTCGAGCTTGACAGGCTCACCTGGAACCCTGTTACTCTGATGTCTGTTTGACCTCTGATCCCACCACTTTGTCTGTTCGTCCGATAAGCGATTTTTTAAAGCCTTCTGTCATGCTGGAGATTGTTCTTTTCGCACTGTTGCGTAGATTGCATCGATTTCGATAAGTCGAGTGTATCGATTTACCGCGTCCCGTAAAAATCATTTGGTAGGGTTAGGAATATCTGAGAAAATTCAACGACATTTTTGAAACCGCACCGCTGAATACAAAAAATAGAAATACATAAACTTACTGAAACAATATGAATTCAGAATTAATTAATTTGCCACCCACCGTTAATGGACGCACCGCAGTATTATGAGACCACACTGAGAATACACACTAGTGAATTGTAAGGGAGCGTCCAACATCAGAACACGACTTCGAAGAGACTGGACAGTCACGAAGAGACTGGACCTTACCGTTAGGCTTTTGGCCAAAGGCTTTGGTTGAGGACCCTAATCGTCCTCCTGTCTAGGTGTGGGCGCCCTGGCCGTATCACAGCCCACGTACAAACCTGAATCGCACATACACAAATAAATTCATGCCACATAGACCGTCGCGTGGTGCCATCAGCCGGGTCGCCTTACTTGCTGCATACAGCAGGGCGGGTAAGCGAAAACAGACTACTGCTGACGCCTCCCTTCTTTCTCCTTCACATACTTTTTCCTCCCCCTCTCCCCACCCCATTAATAACTC